GTAAGGGATGTGACATGGTGTCAAAAGAGAAGACAATAGTTTGGCCTTCTGTGGAAAATCATCTATAAGAACAAAAATTCTAGTTGACAACAATATTCTTGAACTAGTACTATCTTTTGTAAATTATTTAAGATCTGAAACTGTACTTGGATGACACCATCAATAACCTATTAATTTTTATTTGTGGTAGTTAAGAATTAAATATTAAGGGCAAAGTCACCAAAGGTTGCAAAAGAGAAGTTAGATTTAGAGATGAGAATATAAGTGAAGCACGACAAGGAGAGTCACAATTAAAAATTGATGGAGTACAGAAATAAACGGCTTCATGTTTAAAGAATGGGTAATTCCTGTTTATTAAAGTTAGCCTCCCTATATAAACCAAGAGGAAGGAGAGGTACAGAAAGGTCAAGAAAGAGACGGAGATGTCTGGTTCTATGAGACCAAATGAAGCAGACACCTAATTTGAGACGAAGGAGGAGGAGAAGAAGAAATAAGATAAGAAAATAGAATAAAAAGGACTAAGAGGAGAAGAATTCTTTCATACATTATTTGCTGACAATCAGGTGACGTTTCAAAAGCTTGAGGAAATATACAAAAAAGCAAGATTAAAGACCAATTTACACAAAACAAATATATAGGAGGAGGAAAGTAATAATATACACAATCAACTGAAATCAGATAGAAGTATGTCATAAATTAAATACCTGGGAGAAATCATAAGTGAAAAAGATTCCTCAAGGAACAACAAGGCAAAATAAAGTCTACTTACATTTTTATGGCGCAGATCCAATTGTCGCTGAACTCTGAATGTTTCAAAAATTGATAAAGAAAGTGCAGATGTAGCACCACTAGTTTTAAAATTTAAACATTGTAAAAACATAGCTGTGAGCAGCCTAAATCAAAATTAGTATTGATTGTTACAATTGCTATACAATTGTTAGTGGCATAGTACAGGTTAATGTGAGTACAAAGGAAGTGAGCAAGATGAGAATGGAAGATGAGTTGAAAGTGGTACAGCAGTTAAATAATTCCAGCTACGAGGGAGTATTATAGATTATTGAAGTTTATAGAATTACAGAGTGAGCCAGAGGGTCTTTCAAATCTGCATAAGTTCTTAACTTGCCAAAACTAGCACATGTAGTACCAATCCAAAAGTTCCTAATAGTATTAAGGGTCACGATAGAAGACCTATCAATAATTTATCTCGTGTTGAGAAAATTCTTGAACCTATTCTGTACGAAGTGCTGTCAAATCAAATCAAAGAAAATAATATTTTGTGTTTAAATCAATCTGGGTATAGAGATTCCAAAGGAAGTGCTTCTAACTAGATAGTTGAATGGAAAAGAAGGCTATAAATCGGAACACAGTTGGATTATTTTTCATGATTTGAAGAGGGCACTTGAAAACATGGATAAGAATAGATTACATTGAAAAACACATTTTAAGAATCGGTGAATATCTTTGTAACAAACACTTGTTTTAAAATAAGTGAAACATGCTGATTCAAAATATGCACACCATTTGTCTCTAATACACATGGCTTTTTAAATATACACTTCTACCATTTATATTTCACTAGAAAATTTTTTGTCAAATGGAGTACTAATGAACATGGAATTAGCTACGAAAATAGTGAGATTGAATCAAATGACATGTATACTACATAGTAATATATAAAATTCAAGGTATAATATAATATACACATAAAATCAATACACACTGAAAATACTTTATCTACAGTGTATTTGGTTTGAATTTCATGGCTGTAGTGTTTGCACTGAGCATTTGGCATGTCATGATGAAGTGTCCAGGAGTCAGCCAACACTGCTGCACTCCACTGACTCTGATATGTAACTGCATCACCAAGATTTCCTGAAGAAAACCATGTTCGGCACTGACCAAACCTAGGTTTTTGGGGAAAAGGTCAGGATTCAAGTCGAGGAAACGAATTTTGAGGGACATGTTCACACTCGCCCTTTTGTAGGCTCTGATGCACTTCTTCACAATATTTACATAGCATATCTATAAATCCAAGTAAATTGGCTACAACTGATTTAAATGCCATCCATGAACTTCTTTCAGTATCATTCAGCAAGTCTTGGAAATGGCTTACAGCAAGTACCTTCTTTATTTGTAGTCTGGTGAACACACCGTCTTTCACTTTCGCATAACTCAACTGTCAAAACATGGTGCACAGGTACTGAAAGGCATCCAAGACGTCGTTTAGTGCCTTCATGAAATTTTTCGTGAGCCAGTTTCACGTGAAGCAGTGGCATGATTACGTTGTCAGGGTCAATGACACACACAGGATTTTTTATTTCCTGGGTGCATTCTAGTTTTGATATGGCATTTTTTCTTTATGTCTAGTGCTTTCTATCTCTAATGCCCCCTCGCAGATCAAACAGCAACACCCGATGAATTCTGCCAGATGTTCCCATAAGACTGGTGGTGATTTTTAAATGACCATATGTGCACTATTTATACTCAGGACAGCATATTTTTTCAAGAAGTATGGAGATACTTTTATACTTCTCTTTCAGGTGGTATTGGTTCATATTCAACCAGTACTGTTGCATATTTGTATCCGTTTGGTAATAATAGTGATTTCTTAACTTGTTTTAGTTCAATCCATGAACAATCACCATGCTTCAATGCTGTGTTCCATCCCAAGGCTTGTCGAGAGACCTTGAACCTCCGCAAAGTAGCAAATACTGATACTCATTGCAAAGTAACGTGATATCGAAAGTGCTTTAAAATATTACCTTAAATATAATTATTTTTATAAACAACACAATTATTATGTGGAATTGCATGAAAACAGCAAAAAAACAGGGATAAAAAAATGATGAACAGGTTTCCCAGTAAATTAATTTTTGTTGAAAAACCTGACGTGAGACAGCAAAGTGATTTTCAGATTTGAAATCAACATAAACTACATTGGAAAAAGTAAACACCAGCCAGATATCTTTAGCTTGTTTATCAGCATGACAATTGTTCAAGAATGTTTAGGTGTAATTTTTTTTGAATGGCTAAAGGACAATTTTACTAACAGAGATGTAGTTTGTTGAGATAGGTATTCTAAGACAAGTTTAATGTTGACGTAACTAGATTGGTTAAAGTTGACCAAATATTCTCTGAAAAGATTTTTGTTCATAAACTAATGCGTGGATTGTTGCCAAATTCCTTGACAAATATGTAATGAGGAATAGGGCTCTACATGAACATCAGACAAGAAATAAGGATAACTATTACATTGAAGTTAGCAACAAGCAACTAAAGATTCAGTCAGTTAAAGAAGATTCAGTTGCATCAACACCTAGGTCATTAGCGACCATTATTGCATTTAATGGCATGGTAACTGAAGATGGCATGATATGGTGGTGATAAGGGGGTGCATGGACAAACACAAACACAACCATGTCCAAGGTGGGACTCTAACCCCTGATCCTTTGGTCTGAGATCGCTACGGCACTACTGCCTTAACAATCTCCCATCCGGACTGACAAAAGTTCAGTTTCTGTTGCTAGGTTTAAGGAAAACATAAATAGGTATCCAAAAAGTTTTTGGCACATTTTCGAAATTGTGTCAGGCCATTTACTGTGAAGCCAGAGAGCCTCATCCCTAAATTGTAAGTTTCAAGAAACAGGTATAAGGGTTTGAGCATTTACAGAAAAAAACATTATGTAAGACAATGGGGTACTTCAGAGCATGTCTATAGGTATACGAGGCAAAGGAACTTTTACTAGAGAAATAATTATTCTTTTTCTATATTATTCTTTTGAATGTCTGTTCATTACATGCAGGATTTCCAAGCAAATGCGTGTTTTTATGTAAAAATACAGCTCCCCAATTTTAAAAAAATGTGTTTCATAGTAAGCAGATTTAGTAAATGTGTACTTTTTCTGTACAGGCTAGCATGTTTCTGTGCTTTTATAAAATTGTTTGTTGTCGTTTTTTTAAAGAAATTATGGTCATATACAGACTTTTATCCATCATTTTAAGTTTTTATTAGGGTTATTGCATAAATTATGTTAACATTAAAATTAATGCATAGTAAGCATAAATAGTGTATTCACAGACAATGGTTGTCTTTCTTCTTAACCTGCACATCTTTTAATTCTCAGTAGTTTCTAAGAAAAATAACAATAACCTGACTTTTTCCCTGTAGAGAAATATATACACTCAATATATTTCCTTTCGTTCCAGCCAACGGTAACTGAAAAATAACCTGTCACATTACAGAAGTAAGCAGAAAGTTTTCCGGGTGCAGGCCGGTCGGCCACAGACAGGTACGTAGATAAACTGGTCCAACCTACTGCCCAGTGTTTACAAAGCACTTGGGACATTCTGCAGACGGTGCGATGGCACGATCTGAAATTCCCACAAAGGACGTTGCAGTGAAGACATTCCAAGCAGATGTGTTAATATTGTTCAAGCATTGTAAGTGTGAACTGGTAGAATCGCAAATTTTGCCTTGACAGTGTGCTTCTATTCTGTCTTGTGATGTAAGAAGTATTTTTTCATCACTGAAAATAAAACAATCTAGACAAAAATAATGTAACTAAAGAAAATTTTGAAAATAATCAATTGTCCACAGTTACAAAAACAACAAAAAAAAAAAGTATGAATACATAAATTTGATAGCACACATTCAATTAAATTCATATAAATTTCATGGTACATGAGTACATGCATAGTTTAGAATGTTGTTGTGCATGAAAATCCAACTTTTACTTACAACGTATCCACTTAACATCTTAATACAAATGACAGAAACTATTGCTCACATCTGGGTCAAATATTTATCGATAAGCTATAATAAATCCATGATCTTCCTTCGAACTCATATCATCAACATTGGAACATAGAGAAAATTGAAAAATGTTCACTTGTCTCTGAATCTTTTAAATAAATTTTGTTCTATTGCAGGCATGCTAACAATGAATGTAAGGGAAATTACTGCAAAGGTCAAGGATTCAGAAAAGAACAAAAACACAATTCTTTGCATATTTTGCACATATCAATATAATGACATGCACAGAATCACTATATTGAAAAAAAAAAAAAACAACAAATAGCAATTTCCATTTTTTGCATTATGTTTTTCTTTTATCTTTACATCATCCTATGAAATAAATAACCACTGTTACTTCTGAGCTGCTGTACTCAACATTTCCTAACAATTCAGATAATGATCTTGAAAGAAATGAACAAAAGTTCAGCATATGGAATACTAGAGGTCAGTAGTATCCGGCAGGTTCAGCATTACCAATGAAAAAACTTGGCTCTTTACTGATACTGCCATTCCTACTGCGACTGCTAAAAAACCCTCCACACAGAATATGAACTCAGCAAGAGATGTCACAAACATGTTAATGCTATAATTCATAATTTAATAACTTCAAAAGCTCCACTTAGCTCAAGATCTTTCTCATAATTTATTTACACATTTGTTTACTACCAAATTTACCAAAAACAAATCCATTCAACCCCAATTCAGAATAAGAAAAATTACAGGATTTGTAAGTGGCATGTCTAACAAAAACAAACTTTTAAAAAGTAATACATCATGATTAAAGTGGAGTTCACTACAAATACCTGACAATCACTCTATGCTGGCTCTTTTGTCTGTGAAAGATTTAAACAAGCAGATGCAGAACTAGATGGTCGAGCCACTCAAACTCAAGCAGGTACAAAAATTAAAAACAAATTACAAGAAGCTACAGCTGAATAAGATGTTAAAAGATCTTTCAACTCAACATCTGAGAAGAACTTCCATGGAAAAGTGAATTAACCAAAATATCATGACCTTAATTTTGTCATACGATGTGTGAAGAATGGAATGTACAGTTACGTTTAGAATTCTTCTCTACTATGTAAATAAGGCAGTAACCTCTACACATAATGAAACAGTTTCTTCACTTGCGTAGTCAATATTTGTGGGTCATTTGATACAGTCTCAGAAAGGAGACTAAGATCCTTTTTTGATTTATGAAAAAGAAAAGAAAAATAGATTTAATTGAAACTTCCACTTGAAAATGAGCACCATATGGAGGATGTCAAATCAAAGCGCATCAGACATTCAGGATACTTGCTAGCCATGCACCAACCCTTGCAAATAAAGTTGCTAAATGCACTTCAAACCCTGGAATTCCCAGTTCTGTACAGACTCCTCTGTAACGGTAATGCTGATCAACAAGCAGCCTTACTGAAGTTTGAGTGGCTCCAATATTCCAACACTCATGATGGGGAGGAGAGGAGCGCTAGAGTGTTGCAGTGGGAAAACTGGAGACAAAGTCTACTGGGGAGAGCTGGTGGCTCCTGTGGCCACAGGGGCGGATCCTCCACTGCCTTGCGCTACCGCGTCTGCTGCTGCCTGATCCTTCTGGTGTTTCTCCACCTGGTGCCAAACATAAGCATTTGCAACAAAAACAATTAATGAACACATGTTGATTCACAGACTTCATTTATTTTTATTTATAACCGTCACCACCCTGTCACCTTTTTGAATGCATTTATGCTCCAAAATATGCTACGCAGACGTAAAGAGTACCAAGTTGCGACCTTGTTACAGAGTTACAAATGTATTTTAATAATTAAATTTGTTCAAATAATTGTCACCCGTACCGGGATTCAAACCTGGGACTCCTGGTTTATGCCCAGTTGCTTTACCAAAAAGCTACTGAGAAAATCAATTCTTTAAACAGGTTCTTAGGCCTAATGTATTGCATGTTATTATATTTAATTGTCACCAACCTGTTACCTTTCTAGATGCATTTACCGCTCAGAAATATGTTTCGAAGACTTACAGAATACCATTATACTGGTAATACATCAGGCGCTAAGAACCTGTTCAAAGAATTGTCTCGGTGAGAGCTTAGTAGTTAGAACAACGGAGTGTAAGCCAGAAGACACCAAGTTTGAATCCTGATCAGAGTGACCATTCTGTGAACAAATTTAATTTATTTTTGTTGTTCTTTATTTAGTAAAATAACAGGCAGACTTATTTACTGATATCAATAGGCAATACATCCTATTTACATACAAACTAATTAAGGAAACCTGTAATTCTGAAGCACATTTCTAGCTATAATAATCAGTTACATGACCTATATAATTACATGACCTTATCTACTCATGAATTGCTTCAATCATATTTGAGGAGTTTGGATACAGATATTTTGACAGACATTTTAAAACCTTTTTGAAATAAGTAAGAATCACATAATTTTAAACTTAAGTTTTTATTTTTCATTACTCAAAGTTTGTTCTATGATGTTTCAAGGACATGTTTTTTCTCATCTTCAGGCTACAATGAATATAAGAGAAAATTGATTTTTTCAAAGAATGTAAATAATAAGTTACTGATGTAAATATATAAATGATACAATTATAATGAACCCTAGCACTCGATAGAAAATCCAAATGACGACTCATAATTTAAAAAACAAAAGATACATTAAACTAAACATAGAAATATAATCATAAGATCTTTGATTCACATATGATAAGTCTTCATGATTTACATGGTGATTAGAGTATATTAAATTAGATCTCAGCAAAAGTAAATACAATATTCTAATAGTTTATGAGTTCTTGAATTAAGTGATCACTTTCATCACTAATCCCAAACTCTGATTTGCTTAGGAAATTACTTAATTTTTATGATGATTCGAACTTAATCCCAAGTTCAAAAAAAACACTTGAATGGGATTGTCAGATTAAATAATCTGATCTGAAATTAAAAATGTATATTTCATGTAAAATATACACAGAACAAGTAAAGATAAGAAAATCTGGTAAAACATTTGAGGAAGGGAAACCCAACAAGAGTATAATGCTAGCAAAGAGATAATGTGAAAGGAGAGAGATGGAGAACGAGAGACAAGGTGAGAGCAGGGAAGGGCGAGAGGGGGGAAGAGAGGGAGGGAGAAGGAGAAAGAGGGTGGGAGAGCAGGCAGAAGAGCATGAGTACGTGGGTATGACAGCATACAGGAGCAAGGAAGGGAGGATGCAAGAAAACGAGAAAGCAGGGAAGAGACAAATGGAGTACTGGAAAGAGGGAAGGTAGGAGGGAAAGAGGGATGGAGAATGGGGAAGAGAGGATGGGAGAGCGGTGAAGAGAAGGTGCGAGAGAAGGGAAGACAGGGATAGAGAACAGGGAAGAGTGGGAGGAACAACAGGGAAGGGAGGATTGGAAAGCGTGGAAGAGAGGGAGGAGAGCGAGGAAATGATACTGGGAAAGCAAGGAAGAGACGATGGGTCAGCAGGCATGAGATCATGGAAGAATAGGAAAGAGGATGAAAGAGCAGGGAAGAGAGAGGGAAAGTGGAGAAGAGAGGGTGGAAAACAAAGAGAAGGTTGAGAGCAAGGAGGTGGTTGGAAGAGGAGGATAAAAAAAGAAAGAAAATTAAAAATAAACACTTTTGTAAAATTCTATTTAGTTTATCTACAGCAAAAAATGAAAATACATAGGATGTAAGAAAAGCAGAAATTTGTAATTACACAATGCAGGTTTGCATATTTTTTTTAAATCAACAAGAGAAAAAATATTTTGATGAATTTTTGGAAGGGAACTGCAAATAATTTACAACAAACTTTATCCCTAAACACCTGTTTCTCATCTGGGATATCGCCTGATCTCTTTTTCTCTTAAATTCATTTAAAATTCTCAGAAATTGATTTTTCTCTTAAATTCATGGCTTGTATTCACACATCTACTGGCCCCATGTTGACAATCTTAACTCCTCTGCAAAAGCTGCATTGGTCAAGACCTTGTGAGAGTATCGGAAAGACATACTACTCTGGGTTCTAATGCAATGTGTGTTAACAGTCAGCTTGCAGTCCTGGTGCAGGTACTATTAGGCAGTGAGGTGGTGTGTATTTCTGAGTTACACAACCAGTTTAACAATGATCGGAAAATGCCTTAAAAACCCTAAATATTAAAATTTTTCAACTTCAAAACAGATTATTGAAAAGGGGATAGTAAGTAAAAAAAATGCAAAAAATTACATGAATGTTGGCAAAAAGTGCACAAGTTGAGAAGTTATTCCTTTTAATGGTCAGAAATATGTTTAATATGCATTTATTGGCGATTTCTTCCATAAATATGTTATATGTTGATACATTGGAATAAAAACAATAATAAATATTAATTAATTAACATAATAAAGACATGTAATTTATTATTTCGATGTCAAAAATATCAATACAAATCAAAACAAATATCATAAAATGAACAACCTTGTATAAAACAGAAACGACCTTAAATCGAAATAATGTTTTGTTCCGATCGATTCCGGTTTAGACAGATTTTACTAGATTTCCCATTTCCAAAGGGAGGAAAAACAACTGGATGCAATATGTATTAGTTCGTCACAAGGTTATTTGAACAGTTAAAATATAAGACAACAATTGATGATCATTAAACCAAAAAACGACTTGTTGCTCCTGCAGTTAAGAAGTTTTAAATCAACATTTCCTTGAAATGCAAAAACCCATTTTCCCTGTGAATTAGAACTGATTACCTAATTAAAGTAAAACATACAACATTCACTTCCTATACTGACAGTTTTCACACTAAAATGTTTAACAAAATACCCTAATATCTCATTTCCTCTCCCAAAAAAACTTCATTGTGGCAAAAATTGAATCAAACTTCATTCATATGGACAAAATTTATTATCTGATCATATTAGAAAAACATTAGATTACCAAAATAGCAAGCAAGACATATTTGTTTCAAGAAAAAAAATCTCTGAAAATAACATGTTGTAACCTAGAATCAAGTATTTCAATCTTGCAATATGTTCTCCCAGGATGATGTTAGTCATAATAAAATAAAATCCACAAAGTAAAATGAAATTAGTGTATGAAAAAGTTCTTATTTGTTTTGTTTTTTATTGTCATACTATATAAATCAAACCTTCCAAACTTTGTTTAAAAAGTTATAAAATAGCTTCTTTACTTAAAAAAATAATTTGTAATTGATGTTTAAAAAAATACCAACAAAATTTCATGCAAGCAATCTTTAACCCCTTATGCCTACTAGTTTGCATGTCTGTAAATAGTTAACTTCTCAAAGGTGGCAGTTCCAAATGGAAAATTTTATGGTAATTAATGTGAAATTTCCTTCAATATAGTACAATGAAAACTTCACGGTAAAGTTGATTTAAGCAATTAAAACATACAACACCTACATTTCAATTTTTTATATTTTAATGAATTATTTCTTAAAGCAAGCTCACAATATAAATAAAAGCTGAATTTTTCTTTAGATTGTCCACTTGATTTGCATGTGCTGTCAGAAGAGAAGAATGTATGAACCTACCAATATGAATCTTTCACATAAAAAGGTTTAGATAATTCTGCATTGGCCACACACTGTGCAAATCACAAAGGTTCAAGGGCAGAGTCTCATCATCACCTTGGAACTGTGCAAACAAAGCGAGTGAACCTGATCATAAAAATATTTTGGCAAAAGATTGCATTAGAATATTGCAGAATTCAGAACCAAGGTTATTTTGGTTCACCGTAACTAACTTCTGTGACCAAAAACAAACAATTTTTAAAAAATGCATCTTTACAAAGAGTGGTCAAACTGAGTAAAAGTAGACTCAAAATATTGCCGGAACAGTATAATAACTACAAGAAAATATTACTAAAACTTCGATATTAAGTTTATAGTAACTTACCACTTTCCGAATGTGCATAAAGGCCTTACTTTCTGTGTTACCCTTGATATTTTCCAATTTATAAGGGGGGGTAATGGTGACTTGATCAAACACAACAATATTATGTCCCTGCCACGCCACCTCACTAATGCTGAAAAACGAAATTTTCTTTGAAACATCTCACTGATGCAAACAAGGTAATGCAGAGTTACCAATCATAATGCATTCTTACGTTCGTGATATGGCAAGGAACAAACGCTGCCCTTCGGGAGAAACGCCAGCAGCCAGAGAAGTGACCAACCTACGCTTCTCTTCAACTTGATTACGAACTCTTGTGTTTAGCTAAAAATTATTAATAAAACACATACTTATAACAAAATGAGTAATTAACACACAATTGTCACACAAAAATTATGAGAGAGCAAAACAATCAGAACAAGTCCAAAAACTTAGAAACTTACTCTTTGCAGATTCAAAGACTGTGGAGCCTCAGGAACAGAATTTACTTCCTTCTTTACTGCAACATCACTAACAAGCGCCAAATTGACAATGTGGACATCATTTAAAGTTGGACGTCCGTTAGATGCAGGGCATTCTATGAATGGCTAAGGAACATTCTGCTACAAATTTTTTTCAAGCAATTTAAAAACATGAAAACACAGTGTAGGAGGCTGAGCAAATCAATAATTACTTTCACTTCTCTCAAAATTATAATTATTAAAAGAGTACATTTCAGACTCAACACTTCAACTTCACATCAGGACATCAATTACAAAATTATTAATGGACCTAATAACCCAAGCAGTACATAAATTTAACAAAACTGTTGGATATTATTTACGTAAATTTCTGAAAGTAAAAGTACATTTTATGCCTCCTTTCATCATTACAACACTTCCCTGCTAGTGATTGGCATGCTTTTCCAACACATACGAATTTCGTTTTCAAAGGATACTGAGTATAAGCATTTTTGTTTGGGGATCAAATGCAAGCACTTCCCCTTCAATTTCCTTATTATAACATGTTTTACACACAACAATACTTCCGATACTAAAACACTCATTCACACCTGCCATATTCTGTCTCATTTTGTCTTTTGTTTCCCACTGTTGCGCTCCCAAGCGACCAACACTCGAATGATCAGTGGGATCGGTGTTCTAAACTGTACGCGAAGTAACAGCACTACAGCAGCAAATCTTGCAATGATTATATCAACCGAAAAAAATGTGTTTTCATCAATGTCTGGAGACAAACTGAAGTACATTTAACCTAAAGTATATTATGTAATGCGTCTTTCTATATGTTGTCAACGGAGCGTTATATTTAGTGAATTTATATTAAAAGAGGTTTTAAACTATTGCTGAGAAACTGAAAATAGAAAGAAACAATAATATTCGTATTAAAATTTATTCTCAAAATTTGTAATGAAGCTAATCAACTAATCAGCAAATTACTCAGCTCACATCTGTTTATCATTCACAGATAGCAGCACTTGCTCAGTAAAAGCGAACCAGAAGCAATTTCTCTGTCATTCGCTGTTATCTCCGGGAATTTGTCCACGAATCGAAGCCTTTGAAGCCTTTCGAGTATTGACGTCATCGAGCCATTCTCAACATTTTAACTTACGTGGATAAGCTTTAATTTTCAGCATTGTCCATTATAAAAAAAAATGATTGATGGTTTATGTAAAAATTCAAGTGGATGTTAATAACCATATCCTTCGCCAGGTCATTTTTGTTTGCATAGTGAAAAGCTGTTGAATGTTAATAGCGCATAAACAGCTGTCATTTAGAAGATAATACTTCAGTACAGCTGTGTGTCTCGTGACTTAATACTTGTCAACGCAGCTATTCTTCTACTCTTTTGAGTCATTTCCTATACGACATCGATTGAGAGCAAGTCGAAACAATGAGCAAGGTTAGTTTTTCTTTCGAGTTCTTTAATTTTTTTCTCTAACCGTACCAAGCCACTCACTAAAACTTGAAAACTCTTTCATTTTAGGTTCACGAATTTAAGGTTGAAATGTCTTGTGGCGGATGTTCTTCAGCCGTAGAGAGAGTTCTTGGCAAACTCACAGGTAATATAGCAAATGAGGAAATTTGATACAATCCATATTGAAAACAAAGAGTTAACTTGTACATTATTTGCAGATGGGGTGGAGAAAGTAGAAATATCATTAGAAGAACAGAAGGTAAAAGTAACCTCATCATTGCCTGCTGAAGACCTTCTAGCAGTTATCAAGAAGACTGGAAAAGCCACTGAATACCTTGGGGTGCAGCAATAAACAATGGCATTCTTTCACTATTAATTTTGTCAATCATGAACATTGTATGTAAATTGCTTTAATTTTTATCTTTTTACTAAGATTTTTACTTATTTTATTCATGGAGGACTATATTTCCTTTTGGCTTTACTGTATCCATATAATTGCTCAGATCTAGTCATTTGCAGATCTGTTATCTCCAAGTAATTCTGAAAGATAATGTACTTGTCATATGAATAAGCCTCTATAATTGGGATTATCTATCCTGCAATTGATCTCTATATTTGGTTGTACTCAAAGCTGCAATGTATAATTAAACCATATTTTCTCTAATTGTTTTATCTTTGATCAGACTTTTATTTCACCATGTCTGCAAGCATTAGTCATGTTCATGCACATGTCATGTTATCAGATTAAAGGTCAATTACTGTTCATCTAGGCAGGAACCAAGCTTGTTGAAACAAAAGTTTTAAATGAAATGACTTAACACTTTGAAAAAATATATTTTTCTTATTCATTTACATCACTAATGTAAATCTATTTACAAGTTACCCTATATACAGAAAGCAATGTACATTTTTTAATCCACAAACCTGGTCTGAAAGTATGCTCCATTTTCTCAAAACAGCAGTTAAACAAAAGCAATAACATCACTCAAAAATAAGTTTCAAAACCTTGTTTTACAATACTTCATATTATTAACAGATCTGTTTGTATAAATAGTAGGAATGTAAAACTGCAAAGAAATTATTTGGTAAACATTCAGTTAAGGAAGCGAATTGACATCTTCTGTTCTACATCTGTGCGTTCTAGAGCTTTACAAAATTCTTCAAAGGAAATCATTTGATCCCCGTTTTGATCAGCCTCCAAAATTGTCCTCTCTGCAATGCTTGTCAGTTGTTCCTCACTAATGTTGGCACCAACCATCATGTGCAAAATAGCCAGCAACTCATCACGAGAGATTTTTTCATCATTATCCAGATCGTACATTTTGAATGCGAACTTCAATTTTTGTTCCCTGGAGTTGAGCTTATTGTCCCGCCCCTTCTTAATAGGACGGAAATGAGCCAATACTTGCATGAACTGCAAAAAATTTACACGATCACCACATCCCTCCTCGAAGAAGGCGTGCACAATTCGGTCTCCGAGAGGATTAATAGCCAATTCAGGAATCCTGAGGAAATCTTCGCGGCTCAAAGTTCCACAATCGCCGCGATCCAAGCTTGTAAAACGACTATACAATCTTTCGATTTGATTTGGCGTGAACCCAGTTTCTTCTTGAATTTGGGCGATCTCTTCTTCTCGCAACAACAATGATGACCTGTTACCCATCGGTAAATGTTTCTTGCAACAGAATCTGGAGCAAAATTAAGGTAATCACCCACAACAACTACCAAACACGATACACGAGCGTTGTTGTAAATACTCGAAGAGCCTACAGTCGAACTAATAATGACGGGCGAAGGGCAGAAATACGCAGCGCGTTTTATCACCAAGAGTCAATGTCATCCATACCAACTCACCAGTAACCTAGTTTTTCAACCTTGTTCCGCTGAAGTGTCTGTTGCCTTTCAAACAAAAATATACAACTAGATTTGTAATTGTACGAAGAAATAATTTAGCTAGCAGAATATAATTATTCAAAATTTAAATTATTTGTAATATCAATATTGACTGAAATTGTCGATTTGTACCATTGGTACTACCAATAAAGCAGCGCGGTGTATGAATTTCTCGTGTACAATGAGATAATATGATATCTCGGCTGTAAAACTTCCACAATTTTGAAATTTGTCGGGTATTTGTAGATGATTTTTTAATAAAAATGGGATGTTTAAATTGTGTTGATACACAAATTCATGGCAGTATTGTATAATTGTACTGCAACACTGTCAGAACAAATATTAATAAATTTGCAATTTAATATTCATTTATGAAATCATTCTCATTTTAATGCAATTTTGTTTTATAATATGCTTTTGTTAATATTTTAAAGAAATTTCATATTGCCTTCACTTTGAAGAAAACATTCTACACACATTTCTGACAATTTAAAATGAAACCCAATTGAGAGTTATTTTTATGGGAAGTACACTTTGTACAATAATTTCTCATGTCACATTAAGAATTCTTGAAAAAGCTGATAATTTATCACAAATCTATTTCATATTATTATCAGTGCGTTTTCTTGAGCCGTTATTTTGCTAGATACCGAGAGGAATGTGAGGTTGGTTATTTTGATGATGGAACTATTATATCAAATATGAAGCTGTTTTTTATGCAAATTGATTTTCCATTACATTGGAGCAAACATTTCTGGTTATCATATTTTTTCAAGAATGCTTGTTATTTATTCATAATTCAAATACTGTTAGTAAAGGTGTGGGGTTATATATTCTGGGGCTCAAGAAAACTTGTGTATAATATACTAATCACTACTAACTCAAGATGCCATAATCTGAACTGAGCATAAACCTTTGAATATTTTTTCTTGCAATTTCTCACTAAAAGATCTCAAAACAATATTGTTTTCTGGAAACCTGAGCATAACAAATAAAACTATGAACATATTTATGACCACAACTGAAGTTAGAGCATACCTATTCATAAGAATTGAAAGTATTGAAGTAATTTAGTATCTTAATAATTCAAATCAAAGAAGAAATCACAAGAATAACAATTTCTATGGTGCATCGCTTATAGAAGAATACAAGAAATTAGGTTACAAAAAAAGATTATTAAAAGAAAATGTGAATATTTAAGGGGAAAAAAGTGTGTTCATGTTTTTTTTTATGAACAAAAAATTATCTTTAATTAAACTTTGATGACAAAGTGTTAAAAATTCTCAACGAAAAGAATCTAGGCATTAATAGATTTACATGACAAGTAGTAATTTTGAATTAATCAACTCTGTTTTAGTCTTGCATGTCAAAATCCTCTAGACAAACATTAGCGATTTAGAAAATTAAGCTGATCCACGATTGTTCATGATTCATATAGTATTCACAAACAGTTCTGATGCACACTAGGACATACTTTTCTTGGGAACATATGTTCCTGAAAAAGGTATGTCCCAGAAAATGATGTAAGCATAAATTGTTTACTGTACAGTATATTTTTATAATTAATTGATTTGATTTAAAGCTTTAAACTTCACATTTAAACTGACCTATTTCTAATATTCCACTTCAGTTGCTCAAATGGTTATCAGATAGAATTTATTCAAAGATTATGTCACTTTTTTACTAGTGCCAGCAAATTGAAGTTCTTGCATTCTATGTGATCCTATACTGTTAAAAAAATTTGTACTCTTTCATACTGAACAAGTGGTTCTATGATGTAAATACACTGTTATACACAGTTTACATCTGTAACTAATGAAGCATAATCAATGAACATATGAAAAGGAATATCACAAAACACCACATGGATTGGGTTCAAACTTCAACTTTAATGATTCAATTTACATAGTTTCATACATACTCTCTTTATCAGTTCTTACAACTGCTAGCACAACAGCCACTCTGTCCTAAGAATAGTACCTTCTCTTTGTTCAAAAGACAACTTGTTCTTTGGTAGCTATAAGACAGTTCTTATCTGACCCCATATACACTAATAAATGCACTTCATTATAAAATTCAAAAGAAATTCCAACAGGCCTCATTTGAAGATAATAATACACAACACTGACACATGTATATTTAGTTATACAATGTGAACCCAGTATGAGATTATTACTTGCTAAACATTTCCAAAATGTCCTAGTCATTGGAATGGAAAGTTTTCTCATTCAAGCTATCTCGGAGGCTCACTCATCATCTCTTGTACACAAGAAAACACAATGCATTTCCCGTGACAGTGTTTCAGAAATGATTACTGTAAAAGCAAATGTCATTTTATTTGCAATTCAATTTTTGTGCTAGCACCATACTAAATGCATTTCTTTCATGTTGATCTCTGAAACAACAGTACTGAAATGAATATTTTTGCACCATGTAATATAGATTTAAACACAAATGACAAATCTTTATAGGTACAAAGTTACTAGTGCAGAATCATCACACTGAAATAGGTATGTGCTTATACGCAATGCAATGCTTGCCCAACTCTTTTAATTTCCTATTGCTCACTTTGAAGCTCTGAAATACCTGACCTGAAATACTGATATTCAAGGCCTATTTACACAACAAAAAGGATTCAAAGAAAAAAAAGAAGGAAAGTGTTCTCAAATCAAAAAATCATAAATATTTCCAAATATACTTATATATGTTGACAACATGAACTGAAAACAACAAACATATGTATCTTGAAAAAATTAAAAATTCCAAGAATACTCTATTTTTCTCCCTCTGTTGACATATAAAGAGTTCACTTCACCAAACACTTCACACAAAAAATATTCATCATGTCTATCTCAAAACTTATTACTCTTATATAAATGAAAATACATTATAGTGAAATTGTTTCCTCTTACATTTTTAACAATTTTTTTCTAGAAAGAAAGAAATATCTCCAGCACTGTAATTTTTTTCTGTATAAAGTATTTGTCATCACTATACATAAATGCATTCTTTACTTTGCAGAACCATCACATTAGTATCGATTCAGTATTTGGGAAACCCACTCGTGAGTTGTTTACAGAATTTCAATTTCAAAATATTGCTCATGCTCTTTAATGCAGTGTATTATACATGACTTCACTGAAAGTTTGAAATCTAAATTTCTCACTAATAAATCTCAATCAATTTCATTAGCAGCATTTTAAATTCACATTTTCTAAGAGAATCACAAATGATCATATTGTGCTAGTGAATAAATTTCCATTACATCTTAATATTAAACAATATTTTTTTAAATCATTTTGGTAAGAAATTATTCAATTATTGTTCAACAATCTTAACACAAATAATTTCTTCAATTAATTTGATACACTTAATGCTATACAGACTTAATAAACTTCTCCTTTGACTGTAAGTAAAAATAACATAAAGCATTTGACATCAAAATGAAATTCAAGAATACCTGATATTTCCTTATTTAAAATTTGCTCTTTCTGATAATCATATTTATTTGCAACTCTTAAGATATTTTAGTCAGTTGAAAATTGAAATAGAAGTTGTAAACATGATATGCACAACTCAATGTAAAAGCTTATTCAAAGCGATACAATTGATCTTTCTTCTTTTATTAATAGATGTAATTTAGCATATAATTCCATATTAAGGCACAAGATGAACTCCTTTTGTGATTAATATCATTAAGTTAATTATTACATTATTTAAGTAAAATTAATACTTTGGAAATGCATTTAAATGAAACAAACAACAAATTATATTATAACTGTGCGTCAAGAAAGACAATTAAAGTAGTTTTTTTTTACCTGCTTCTGAAAGCTCTTTGGCTTGTATTTCAAATTTAGAAATAAGAACAAACCAATTTAAAAAATATATGAAGCATTTATAATTAGAAAATAGATTGGTACAATCATTCCGTGTTAGTATTATTCAATTCCAAATAGTCAAAAATAAGAATTAGTTTCCATTACCAGCTTGAGAAACTTTTTAATTTGCTGGCCATGAATCATAATCAGGAGTTTCCAAATCGGTCACTACACTTAGATACACATGCTTTTGAAAAGTAATTACAAAGTTTATTCAATAACTCCGACACTTATCTATAATTATAAATAACATTCTTTGCATTGATTTCATTTCATTATTCCATTCCATATTTCATATCAATGCCAAACAAGAATGCACTTGCACTTTACTTGCCTTGTACATCATTCATTATTACAAAATAAAATTTTTTACTGAGAGTAAGTCATGGAACATAACCAGAAGAATAAAAAATTAATTTCAATCATGTAAATGAATATTACCATCCACAGGAACTTGAACTACAATTAATAACATCATATGTCTATACTGACAACTCTCGCAATAATATTATGGATATTTGAACAATGTTCAGTCACACAATATTTCACACAAACCTTTTTAACCACTTTGGCAATAAGTTTAAATATTAATCACTCAACAACATCTAAAGACACATTTTACACATCTAAAATAGTTCATATTTTATGTAGTGTTGTACAATCAATTCTGCTAATTAATATAAGATCATTTCAAATAGCTACAGACTTGTAAAATATGTCTTTGAAAATATATTTCCTTCTGAAACAATATTTAAAAAAATTTAGCAAGCAGAAAACAAAATTCCGAACATGGGCATCAGAACCAAGAATTGTTGTGCCTCCTCGATGTCCTTTACATTCCTTCCAACCTGCAGAAACATTTTCTTGATATATTTAAGTTTTTACAAAGTAGGCACTCACTTGAACCAGACTTCATTTTTGTCCACAAGATTTCCAATGTGAGATTATTTCTTCCAATTACATTTTAATATGGAAGGCAGAAAAAAGTTAAAAAATTTTCCCTCGTGTTTAGCCATGATAGTTTTCTCATTTACTTCAAACTGTTTAGTCACAAATTTTCAGTTCTAAATGCTTCTATCATGCCTACGAGATTTAAAATTCAAATGTCATGTTAATTTATATTGAACTAGATAAATAAACTGATCAAGGAACTGGAAAGGCAGGTTTGATTATTATAAATACACCCAAATTGTCTTTAACAGTAAGCCATTTCTACTTTTTGAATTTCATCCTATGCCCATGCACCATTAAAAAATATTTTTTGTTTTAAGAATAATGTAACTATTTATCATTAAGATAATTTTATAAAATTCATGGTACTATGTTGTATGCATTAAATAACCAACACAAATTTTCATTGCAACACAATTACAAAGAGACTGGACAGTACGGCATATGGACTGTGCAAGCTGATGAGACGGACAAATGGACGAAAATGATACACAAAAATCACTATTTTCTGTAAAATACTACATACACTTATGCATATGTAAACAATTTGCATTAATATAAGGGGAAAACATTGTAACAAGCTTGGACAGGGATATGAAACTTGGTCAAAGAATTTCATTTTCAATTTGTTTTGTGTAATTAACAACACATATTTCTCAAATTGCACATGCAAATAAAAATGTGAATTTCAATGTTAACTTTAAAAAGTCCAGCAAGGTCAACCATAAATTACATAATGTTATGCAAATGCTGATTATTTTGACCCTCCCCCTTACAATAAGGTAAAATAAAACATATAGCAGTAAATCAATTTGCATTATTATTTGTGCTAAAATTTATGTTAATTTAAATAAGAATTTGTTGGTAATGCTGATAGCACCTAACATTAAGGTCAGAGACAATTTTTAAGGAAGGACACTTGGCAAGAAATTTTCCGACAAGCCAGGCACTCACCATTGTGGATGATACATGGGCAAAAGCTACTATGCCCCTTCAATTGGATTCGAGAACATGTAAGGTTCAGTTTTGAACATTTTGTTCATAATCTAACAGATTCAATCAATATATTATTGCTGAAAAAATATTAACATTTATTGTAACAATTATCAACACTTCTTAATTTGTTAATGTAACATAACTTTTGAATTTAATTTGTTAATATTTTAAAATAAGACTGAATGAAAGTAACTGTTTCAGCAAATATTAAAAAAAAAGAAGTTAAGTAATATCAGTATTAAGTAACACCAAACTAGCAGCTACTAAAAGTAATGCTGCCTGAAACTCTCTCTACTTGCTTAGGCTTATGTAATTTATGGACAACCCGTGTTGTTTCATGATAATACAACAAATTGAAATAGGATAAACTATAATCTAAACCACCTCAACAGCATATTTACAACTGAAAAAATGTATGTACAACTAAAATTACTACAGTAGTTATTCAGCAATTCCTTTTGTTATAATAACGATTCAATAGGTTGCATTTCAAAAACATCAATACATCTACTGAAAAACACTGACAATGACCAATTAAAAGTTGATCACATGCAACCTTGCTTTGTATATTTGTCACATTTTCTTTGTCTTTTCAACGTAGAAATTTATTATCAACAGATTCATGACAACCAGTCATTAGCATGTATCCAGCATTTCTTAGATTACCACAAAGGTATCTCTAAATGAAATAGTTACAAAACAGAAGAAATGAAACAACAATCTTTTCTGAAAGTGCAAATAAAGAGTACATTTTGAATGTTTCAAATTTGTTTAATAATGCGAATACCAATAGAATTTGAAATATTTACATAATTAATTATTTTTACTAGTCATAGGAAATGTTAACCAAATATTTTACTTGTTTGAGATTGATCTTACAAACTAAATATCACACAAGGTTAATCTTAGCATTCCAATAATCAGGAATCACTCAGCTAATAAAATTGTTAAAGTGCTATGCCCTCTAAAGTTCTATATTACTTTAACCGAGTCTTTCTTAGATGCCTGCTTTTATATTCCTTAGAGATAGAAGGATGCAGCTATCATTCAGCATTGACATACTCATATTCTATTTCATAAATCCTTTCATAAAAGTTAACTCAATTAATTGATCATTGCCAAAGATATTTAAACATCTGCTAAATCACTCAATAGGGCAAGAAGGATGATCACAGACTAATGTATACTGTAATGAGAGTGTGTAACAGATTGTGCTAAGTTCATACACATAATTATGACTGTATTTTATAGAAGTACAATATTGTACGTGTTGATTCTTTCATTATCACATTTGTTACACTGTAGAGGTAAACATTGACCAAATCACATCACAAACTCCGAACTGAGAGAGATCCCCCCCTTTCCTCCCCCAGCATTCGCCACCAGAAAAACATGAATTCCTTGCATTATGATGGCATAGAAATGTTTGGAATTAAAATGCCATACCAAAGGTGAATATTGAAAGCTAACTATAATTTCCTTTCAGCACAAAATAATGAAATATTACTTTTATGGTCCCTCAACATACTTTAAGAAAAATTGCTTTCAAAAAACCTTTCCGTTTAAAAATCAAGTTGTGTACTTTCTACTTTGATAATATACGCAGAAAGGAAACAGAAACTTCTGAATTTTATCCTGAACTAAGGGATGAGAGATGAATAAGGGTCAGGCAAGTACCTTTTTTATACACATCACAGTGATTACTTCCTCTACATTCACCAATGAAGTCATTACAGAGGTGTAATTGCATTTGTGAATAACTTCTTGTGGAACAATGATATATAATAACTATCACAGCCTTGCTAAAGTAGACTTATATGTTGAACATGCTGCTGAAGAACATGTAAACGTCAGAATTGGTCAAAAAATAAGTTTCCTAGAAAGTATTAGTATCTAAGCTGGCCATTGCATAAAATTCATAGCAACATGTTCTGTATTAAGAGTAGACTCGACTCCAACATAGTAAATAAATATGTCATCAGGACGTATGATGAAGTGAGATTTAATAAATCTTCAGTTTCCAAAGATTTTTCATTGCAAGTTGATTCTAGATGTATTAATTGATTTTGCCAGTTACTGTTATCTGTGTTGTTGTTTTTTCTTTGTTTACCTTTATCTGACAAAGAATTAGTTGTTATTATTAGTCATTGTTTACCTCTGCTCCTAGAACCAATTTGTGAACAATAAAATACTTGCACAAAATAAATCATAGAAAGATCCATTCAGTATGTTACCAATTTTTATCACCGTATAGATGAGTACTATACTATAAGTTCAAATTTTACTTGTAATATATTTCACTATTATCACAATAAAGCAAGAAAAAAGTACTTTCTAAAGTAAAAAGGGTGTCATTTTTTAAGAAACAAGTGCAGTGTTAAAAAAAGTTTGAAATAAAAATGGTACAAATATATATATATTTATAGATTTATACTTATGTACAAATTATGAGAATGAAGTTTTGAAGAGTGAGTTGTTTTATGTTGTTGTTTTCTTTTGTTTGTTTTTAGTTTTCAGAATGATCACAGCTTCAGTTGGGGAGAAACTGTAACAACACAGATTTACTGTTGTAATCCTCCATCATATGCATAATCAGCTTTGTTGTGCATAATGAGGCGATCATCCACAAAATAGAAGCTGTCTGAGCGGGTTTCAAATGGATGCAAAATCATCTCCTTCACTGAAAGAGAAAATGTTTGAAATGTATTGCAGGAATGTACAAGTTTCAGACAAATCACAAGGCAAAATATAAAGAAAAATAAATTAGTCATACAAATCACTCACATTAAAAGTACAATTCAAATAACTTGCATTAATGTATGGATCAAAAACCTGGTTCACATCTGAACTGCTTCCAATCTTTTTAGGCTGAACTGCTTCTAATCTCTAGGTGTCACACCTAGAGATTAGAAGCAGTTCAGCCTAAAAAGATTGGAAGCAGTTCAGATGTGGACTCTTAAAGACACCTAGCAGAGTAACAAAACTAGACAGACCCAGAAATACACAGATCAGTAAAAGACTGAAGTAAACAACATACGAAAATGTAAAAGAGTACCATAGAAAATGGTTGATTCACATATAAAGAAACGAAGAAAATGGACTACCCTGAAATACCAAGGCAAAAGAAAGCTAGGAAGACCAGAGAAGATAACTAGGAACACCTGACAGAATAACCACCATGCCTAATCACAGGGGTTAGGGCACTCAAATAAATAGTTCATGAAGATGAAGATGATGATGATGATGATGATGATGATGATGATGATGATGATGATGATGATGATCTTGATAAATAATTTGCACCATGGAAAAAAACTCAATTTTAACCAAAGCAAAAAAGGGATCTCACAATATCACTGAGCTAATTCATTAAAATAAAATTACACTGTGTAAAAAGAAAAATAAACTCTAGATCCAGAAAATTAAAAAATGATGCTACATTGTTGCAGCAGATGCAGTATCATATCATCAGTACATTATTACTGATGTACTAAGTTTTTGAAGAAAGTGTGTTTAATACATTGAAACCTTCTTAAACGATCACCTTGGTTCAGCAATTACCTCCATTAATGGTCATATTAATGGAGGTGATCGCTTAATGGTTGTGGAGCTCATCAATTTTTTTCTGAAGACACGTGTGAAAATTCCCTCTTTTGAGCGGCCACCTGGCCCCACGGCAGTGGCCAGGCACATTTCATACATTAACCTCTCTCACGCGGCTCCTTGAAGAGAGTTCAATCCGTGAGAGAATAACAAGGGGGAGGGTGCTGGATTCACCATTGATTCCATATCTTCCTGCGACAGAACGCATCATTAGATAACTTACAGAACAGTGGCATCTTCTGGCCAGGGTTTAATTTCTGTTTAAAATAAAAACAGATGATTTTAATAAGTGCCTTTCTGAACTAATAATGTGAAGGCTTCACTTATATCAGAGCCTTCTTATGAACTTTGCAAATCCTTTCTTCCCTGCTGTGAAAACTTGTTATAAAGGCCAGTGGAGAATTATTAATTTTAATCAGTTAAGTTTCAAAACCCAAACATAGATAACTCTGGGTCTCAAAATCAAAGGCTTTTGGATTTTGACATTGGCAGAATGGTCGAACTTTATGGTTGGATACAGAGTTTTGTTTTTGAGGAATCTTACTGATGTTCCTGTAACTTTCTTTCATTCTAGTTAGAACTTTATGACTAGTTTGCACTTAATATATTTGATCACAATCATTGCCATTCAATGACCTATATGGCATTAGCTCTATTCAAAGGAGAAGTATAATCGTTAACATTCTTGACAATAGTCTGTTTATTATGGGCTTTGTTCTGGAACTTCGCTTGAAAGACCTGTAGGTTAAAGGGATTAAATTCCTTATCTGCTAACTTGACTGACAAGGAATTCAATCCCTTTAACCTTAAATAACCACTCATTCAATTTTCACAATCCATGAATCTTTAATATTGAGACCCAGAGATATCTACATTTGGTTCATGAAACTTTACACATTAAAATAATAATTCCATTAATGAATGATGAAAATAATGATTTTACTAAAATGTACGATGCTTTGCAGTATAGATGGTGAACATAGAGAAAATAGTACCCCTATCTCTCCTCCACTTTCATACCATGCCCCTTCCCCTTTGTTTCACCCCTTCTTTGCCTAAATTTCCCCTTTTCTTAAAAACTCATTCTTTCAACCGCCCTCACCAATGTAACTAATTTGAATTCATCCATCTAGTGCAAATTTACTGCATCATAATTTTATTATACAAACATTTTATTTTTGTTTTGTAAACTCTTGTGTGCCTCAACCTGTCACAATTTCTCCATATCTCTATTGTATTGTAAATATTTTAAAACATTTTACTATGTACTTTCATCATTCAATTTTACAGCTTGATGATGGGGACAACAATTCCCAAAAACACTGCAGAATACATTTATGAAATTAATTATGGTTTGAAAATTTTCTGTCTAAGAATCTTTACCCTAATTCCTTCACAACGTATAATTGACAACAAGAGAGACTAAATAGGTGGAAAGAAGAAATATCTACAGGAAAAGTGTTCATACAGAGGATAATTTAACAAAAAATATTTTCATTGATTTCATTTTTGTAATATTCAACAAAATGGTACAGCTTAAATAAGTTATCTATAAATAAATACCCTCAAAATATAGTTTGATAATAGTCCTAAAAGTATGAATAAATCAAAAATTGTGAAATTGAAGTACTAAAAAGTGTCCTACACTGTTTCTTCATTTGCTTGTTTGTATGCATGTTTGTAATTAAATATTTAGTTTGACTTGAATATTAACTTGATGAAGTCTCCAATATTATAGTTTGGTGGTGTTCTTCAGCCCACCTTTTTCCATTTTTGATCAAAATATAAATATTTTGAGATCTTTGGAGAGATTATTAATGGAATACTTCGGAATATGGCATTTGATTTGATATTTGTGAGATGTGGAGGTGTGATAATGAAATTTGGATTAATATAAATTCACTATCTAGAAGTAAGGCACATGTGCATTTGACTGTTATCTTACTTGAACACATATCTGTCTGTATGTCCAAATTTTTCTGTACTGGATGCTAACTATATTCATCATAAGACTGATCCTATATGTGGTTAGGCGGAAGAGAAGGCCCTATGGCCTGAGTCTCCCCATTAATAAAGGTTATCATCATCATCATCATCATCATCATCATCATCATCATTATTATTATTATTATTATTATTATTATTATTATTATTATTATTATTATTATTATTATTATTATTATATGTTTGTGATCTACAATTATATCTAATGACTCTGAAGATCCTGCCACAGCTGCACTCAAGCAGCCACAAAACATACCACTACCATCACCATGCCAGACTGAAGGAAATATATTTTGTTCATCTTTTTTTTTTATCCACTCTTTTTACAGTGTTCTTTAAAAAATGTGAATTTTTCTTCATAAGAAAACAAAACTCCTTCTCAGAAATCTACTGAACATGCCTTATCGTGAATAATGCATTCTACAATTTTTATTTCTATTTACTTGATTAATGAATAATTTTTGCCTTGCATTTGTACAATGATATTCACTAACTACACTGACACCTGATATGAAGTTTTAACATTTATGAACTTTATGCCGAAAACTAATTTTTGCAGCACTTCTTAAGGAATTATTTGTCTACTTTCTGAAATTTAGTTTCTTCACCAAACCAATTAATTAGAAGGTCAACACCTCCCAACTAAAGTTTTCTCTGATTTTCACTCTCCAAACCTGTCAAGAATGATTTGAACAGCATCTTCATTTTCCTGCCACTTTAGATAACGACAATCAAGAATTTTGGGACCTAATGAGCCTTCTTTCTTCATCAGCCCTTTCCCTTATTTTACAGCCTATTTTATTGATTATTTATTATCACACAGTTATAATCAGTAGAAGAAAGATACAAAGCTCCTCAGACACAGACACAACTCCTAAATCACCTTACTAATATTATAAATACAAATATTAATATTACCAAAACCATTAGAAGAAATGCATTTGTACGAATACTTAATAAGCCAATAATAGGAGATTCTTTGATAAACTTGTTTCTCTGTGACCTCACTTGGAACACTGACTTGAGAGGAATATTATACAGAGAGACAGCCCTATCATTTGTTGTACATTAAAGACCACAAAATGTCTACAGTTTTAAATATTAGGTGTACAAATACTGTTTACTATGTTTGTACTTTAACATCCTGAAGTAAAATAAGAGGCCTTCTAGCACTTGCTCAATAGATCTATGAACTCGATGAAAAACCTGATCAAAATGAATTTGAAAATTATGCTGTTAAAATGAAATATAAACTCTTCTAATGAACAACTCTGCAAGGAAATTTTGTAAAGAGCAGCAAAAACCTAAGCAATGGATATGCCTTTATCTTATAATTAAAGTAATATAATATAGATTGTTGTTTAAGTTGCATTTTGTAGTTAAAGTTGTATTTTGTAGTTTAAGGTAATTCAAATGATTTTACTGAAAACATTCTTTATTTTACAGAAATTAGCACAATTATATCTGATTCACACTTTCCATAGCCTCAAAACCTTAAGTGGTAATCTTTATTAACAGCCATTCTTGGCCGTTAGTGACGGCTTAAGACAGGTTTTACTGTAATTTTCCAAATCACAATACCATCAAGATATTCTGTACTCTATATAATTATCTAAGATCAATTCAAACAACTCTCTGCACCTCTCTCATTTGACATATTCCCCAATACATTTTATAGTGAATGATAGGCTCGTTACTCACCAAGATCAGGTGCTAGTGTTGGAAATTCATAAATATGCTCACACGTATTCTTGCTGTTTGGAATGCAGAAGCCAAATTCAAAATCAAAGCTTTTCAATAGTTTATCCCTAAAAAAGTGTCGCTCAATCATGCGGAATTTGCTGACAGCCTTGTTTCCCACAGTAAATTCAACTCTGCAAATGAAATGAAAATATAGAAAAATAATATTTACAATTGTAAGTTTTGCCCAGAAAATGATAAAAAGATTATATTTTATTTCCGACTGGAAACTCTATTGTACATTTTCAACAATACTTACGTAGCACCCACAGTTTTTAACTTAAGAAATTGTGGTGTGAACTGATATCTCACAAAACGACCAGCATTTGGATCTGATTCTTCTTGTTCTGGGTCCGGTTCATTGTCTTCTGTATCTATTCAATCATGAAATTTTCTGTCAAATTTGTTTCATAAAATAAGTCAATTCTGTGATTCAATATTTAATTATAATCAAACAAAAATAATATAATATGTTGCACTCATTAACTGAAAGAGATATTTACAATCTCTTGTAGAAAATCATTAAGAATAACAAGAGAACTCGCACAGCCTGAATTACTCAAATGAAAATTCTCGATGTGAGATAATTTTCTATTATATCCTTGGCAACTAAAGTCTTATTTTCAAATTTTGAAAGAAATTGTTTTCCTGATTGATTTAGGAACATCAATCAGAGCAACTGTTATGTCATAATTTTGAAAGGTACACAAAACTTTGTTTTTTTAAATTATTTGTATCTTTCAGAGGAAAGGATCTGATAAATTCACAAGCCTCATGGTAAGAACTATGGAATAGAAAGGGAAGTAGAAAAGAAGAGAAATACAAAGAAAGGAAGAGAGTGAAAGGGAGAGAAGAAAGTAAAAAAATGCAATGGGTAATGTAACAAAATAAAATTAGAATATACTATATTCTCACATAGGTTTGACTGATTGATAATTCCAGGCATGTCAACTCATATAGTTATTGGCGCAGTGAATGTTTTATCCCAGGAGGCAGTGGTGTTCTTCCCCTATAGTGAGATCTGGCACCAACTTATAAACCAACTTGCAGGAGACTTCTTCCTCTAGGCATATCCTCCAGAAGAGCATTGGCCCAGCCGAGACAGGCACTAAGCTCTCAACTTATGTGGCAGTGTTGTGTATGTAAGTATGAGATAAAGAGGAACAGATCACACATGGTCCAGTGTGTTAGGGTATTGCTCTAGCATTCACCTGGTGTTGATCAGGGAAACCAAGGAGAACTACCAGTCAGAACAGTTGGTCACTTGTACTTTCCCCCAGAAGGATTCTGAATTCAATCTAACTATGGAACTAACATCGAAAATCTGCCAGTCTAGACTGGAACCACAGGACCTCTTGGTCAGAGTCGTTACAGAGACAATGTCTCTCAGCATGGCCTACACAACTCAGTGGAGTAGGCCATGCTCTGAGTTAACTCAGTTGGTCTCTCTGAGGAGGTAGAAATGACAAAGAAAATATCTTACCAGCTGGTGGTGGTTTAGCTATTTCGAAGAGAATGGTGCCGGTTTCAAGATCACGGATCTTGAAGCGAGTAAAGTCGATGTCGTAAACATTGGCTTCTGGTGAACACAAATAGTCTACAACACATTAGAAAATGATACATTAACTCTAATGATTAAACAAAAACATCAATACACAGATCCTCTGCTACATACGCAAAACAATGTAGATATTATATATATATATATATATATATATATATATATAATATATATATATATATATATATATATAATGAAAAGCTCAATTTCAACTTTTATGACTAACTTAAAAAAGAAATTAAGTAAGAGTAGTTATAAAAATACAGTTCAATGAGAACTTCCTAGGATTTTTCTTTAAAATTAAAATTGCTTCCCTAAAATCAGCAAAGATAATAAATATTACACGGAAATCTTATGAACAATTTTTAAAAGTTTTGAACTACACAAAATTAATTACCCCTCTTTCTACAATTTGAAATTTTCTATTTTAGTTGCATTTTTCTCTCATGTGATGTTCTATAAAGAAAGGAAAGCAACCTTTACCCAAAACCTTTTCCCTGTTAGATAAATCTAAAAATTATTTTGTGATCCTTTGACAGTTCTCTTCTAAAATAACAATTTTCAAATCTGTAAAAGATTCAAACCAAAGATAAATCTGGGTAGCAGCTTACAATATGAAAATAACCTTATCTTTCTGTCATTACTCTTAAGGATACTTGACCTTTTTTTCTCTTTCAATGGTTTGCCTTCAGAATATGCTGTTTTAGAAAATTATTTTTGTTAAACATTAACCAATTTCAAATATCAATTGACATTAAATAATTCATACCAATTAAACAGAGCAATGAAACAATCAACATATAAAAATATAACAACAAAAAAAATTAAAAAAAACAACCTTACAAAACAAATTCTAATCAATACATATGAATGATAAAATCATTTCTAAAAATAAGACGGATCACTACATAAAATATGGTTTGAAGATTCATATGAAAAGAGTAAACCTATCGGTAAGAGTAAATTTGCTCCTAAATAAGAAATGATTGAAGAAAGAGTTGATAATAATACAATATAACTCTGAAACTTTCTATTAAATTCATTCGTTTAATGGTTTTATCAATTTCATGATAATTAATTTCATTATAATACAATATTACTAACTACGAAAGTTGTTTCATTTGCTACAAGCATATCGAAGCCAAAAATTGCAAAAAATCATGAAGTGAATTTAAATTTACTTTGTAAAAAAATAGTAAAACACTGTATGTGATGTATGGGGGAGAAGATAATTTACACACATTTTTTTGAGTTCCAGAATCCCTTCCCATCATTTTAACTATAAATAGTTGAAAAACGAATAAAAGTTAAAAACAAATTTAAAATAATAATTTTTTTTTTAAACGCGACAGTAGCGACATTTGAAAAACTAGACATTTTAGTTCCTGAGTTATAGAAAACATATTTGCAACAGTAAATGCAGATTTTATTTTCTGCATTACTAACGAAATAGTATCTCGCCCTTACCTCTACTCCTACCACTACAAGCAAAAGGAGAGTTCAACATAACGTGCGAATAGTGAAGCTACATTTACATCCAGAAGCAAAACAAGGGACCATCTCAGCATTCGCTCAATGTATCAGAGAAACTGGACAAAATCCTGATCGAGATGGGGGATTTTTGATAATAATGAAAAATATAATTTCTCCATTGAATATTTACTTAGAAGTAAATATATTTTACAATGATGACAAGTCTTAAGACCATACAACATTCAATTCATAACAAAATATCTTACTTACTTTCAGTAATGTGTGGTAGTCTTAAAACATCATCAGGAGACACACTTCCTTTCTTGAGTAACTGCTCTTCTGTTAGAGGTTCTATGAAAAATGTTAAGAATTATGAAATGAATTAATAATTTAATATTAAAATTATCAGTTTCCTACGAAATGCACAACACTTGGTGTAATGTTGATAATGATAATGTACACACAAACATCATTCTGACAACCTATGCACAATTTATGCAGAAATAAAATTCAGAATATGGTAAATCATAATCAATACGATTTTCAGTGTAGAAAAAATCAGTGCAGAAGAAAGAAAAGTTTTTTTACCTGCATCTAAAATACTGTCTTTTCGCGTTTTCGCTTGTCTTACAGCTACATTTCCAACATTTCCCGATTTTTTATGAGAAATATTACCGACAATACTCATTATGATCCCAGAAGACAACAATTCGGGAATAAACAATGCCACAAAGCCCCTTTACTTTGCCACTTTGGGGTTGAGCGGTAAATAAAATTAATTATTCGATCAATTGACAGAGAAGGTTGGAAAATCCATAATCGACCGAACAGATCAATGCCATTCAAACAAAGTCATATAACTCATTTCCCAACAAGTTTGGGGAAATTAAGTGGACTAGACCTTAATATACTGTGACTAATTATTTTTTGTTCCGAGATAATTCGTGTGTAAACTTATGTTCACATAATATTATGCTCTTGTATTCTCTTCCAAGAATAGTGTGTCAGTCACTTAGCAAACAAAAAAATGAAAAGTCTACCACAAATTATCTTTATCGAGTTTCACGCACAAGCACAGTTCCAATTTTTGACAAATATGTCAACCAGATGTCAACTAAATAAGCATATCAAGGTTTGACATTTGAAGTGAGACCCAGTAGTTGCCAATTTACTTAGGCAAAGTCCTGAATCAAACACTATTTGTCCATTCCTGAGGCCTTCACTATTATAACGAACATTCTTCGCCCATACGTTTCGTTGAAGATGGTGGAGGGTCTTCAAAGCAAGAAAGCGGATATTCGATAATCATTAAACAATAACACAGATAATTGCTCGTACACAAGGTTGTCAAGCATTGTCAACCCTGTGGCAGGTATACATCGCTACCTGCAAATGGTTCACTCGATTCACCGTAAGAATGCATTGCAGTCCTTCTATGGACATATTACAGATACGTTCCTTGCACAGGCCCAAGGCATTGTGTACAGAATATTAAGATGACTACAACGGCGGGAATTTTGATTGAAGAGAATGGACACGTCTAGAAGACATTGTAATCATTATACGAATTAATTTATTACACACACACACACACACACACACACACACAGGATATATATATTATATATATATATATATATATATATATATATATATAATAATATATATATATATTATATATATATATATATATATATATTATATATATAATATATATATAAGATAGTGCGCAGGAAAGTTTCTCGCAGTATCTCATATAACAACAACAACAACAAACCAACAACAATAATAAATAATTAATAATAATAAATAATAATAATAATAATAATAATAATTAATAATAAAATAAATAATATAAGGTTTAAAGCCATAAATACGTTTTGCCAATTTCATTTCTTTCATAAGTCTTTTGAGCTAATTAAATGGTTCAACTACAGATCTGAAGACCTATCAAGAATTATTAAATGCCAAATGACAGAATACCGTATAAGACACCCCACTGTAGCAATAGAGCGTGTCTCTCCTCCCACATCCCAGGGAGAAGGGCAAATCAACATACCGCGCCTCTACAAGAAGAAAATCGACGATAAAAGGCAGTATTTCTATCAAAAACAAAACTTCTCTTGATATGTTCCAATTATTTGCGAAGCTGATATTGATGCAACACCTCTGCGGCGCTTGGATAGCCGTACAATGCAAATCAGTAGATGGCCAGAAAGCACAATGGAAATCGAAAGCACTACATGGAACGGCTAACCACCTGAAAACTGATAGTGGTGATAGAGAAGCAACCAATTTTCGTCTTAAGAAAGGTAATCTTTTGGGAGAAACCACAGGATTCATGATGGCCATTCAAGTTAGAGTAATGCCAACCAAAAAGGACAGAAAATTCATTAAAACAGTAATAATCTCTGATGACAAATGCTGCAAGTGTAAAGCTGTCAGTGAGACTATTAAACATATTACAGGCTCCCGTCGCCTCCTTGCGAGCGCGGAATATATAAAGAAACACAACAACATGGCGAAGCTTTTACACCAACATTTTGCAAAAAATGGCACCAAAACAACTACAGTCCCATACTACAAACAAATATGAATCTCCAGCTGTCATTAAAAACAACTACATAAAACTATATTGGGACTGTAAAAATAGAACTGATGTCACTATCTCAGCAAATCGTCCTGATATGCTTCTGTTGGACAAAAGGAAAAGACAAAAGGTTCACATAATTGATGTCGCAACTCCACTCACTAACAACAGTAGCACTGCATCTAGTATAAAAACAACAAAATACAAAGACCTTGCTGACGAAATTAAAAAAACTCTGGAAAATAAAGAAAATCATTATCCGAAACATAATAATCTCGGCCACAGAAATAATACCCCAATCTACCAAATCTCAATTGGAAGTACTGTCATTTAGTGAGAAAATTCATGGGTGAAGAACTAGAACATGAAAGTGAGTTTAGTGAACATTTAGTGAACTAGAACATGAACAAAGCCGAATGTACAATTAAAAATTAAATTGTTATTAATGTGTATATTTTGTACTTGTATATATTTTCTTATTTTTTTTCCTAAAATGCCTACAAAGGTAAAAATTTAAAATGTAATGCCAGTAACGTCATATTAGTAATAATTAATCACCTAAGCCCTGTGTTTCTTTGCCGAAGCACGGAGTTCCGTGTACCAATGTATTAATGAAAATGATGATGATGATGATGATGA